ATACAATACAGCATTACTTCAGCGATTTGTTTTATACAAACGAATGCAAATATCACTATTCTATAATCAGCTAAACCGCTGCTTAGGATAGGGCAGATATCATCCGCCAACAGCACATACAATACAGCTTATTTGATTCAATTTTTTGGTATCCCTATTTAGATTAGTGTTAGTTGACTGATATCATGATCGAAATCCAGTCTGGCGAGCACGTTTGGGCCAAGATCTATATCATGGCTGTAATAATGGCAGAAAGGATAGCTAATTTCCTTGAGAGTCACACACAGCGAGACTCATGAAAAAAACATGAATCCCGCTGCTTTCCTCTCCTACGTATCCGCTGACAAACTGAAGTGATCAGTAAGTCCGTTGTATGCATAAATCTGCAACGGCGCACGCGGGCAAACAGTTGAAGGATAAGACTAAAGAGTCCCCAGATGTCAGCGTTGTGGCTCGGAATGACGACTTCAGCATAGGTTCAGTCAGTATATTTATTCTAACATAACCCACCTCAGCCTACCAACACCTGACACGTACGCGGAAAAGGCGCTTGGAAACGACCAGCGATCAATGATAATTACATTAAATAAACAATATATTCATTTTTATATCTGAAGAAAAAGTGGCAATGAAAGGGAACCTTTTCCAGGCGCTCTGCTGAGGTTTTTTCAAACCTACCCCAGCGCCCGTTCCGAAGTCCGTGATATGAAAACGTCAACGGAACTGTTTTCAAGCCATTATTGTAAACAGCCTTAGGCTTGTTTTAGTCAGGCAAAATCGCGAGGTAAGCGCGACCCCGCTGGATGGGCTGCAAGACTGTACAATTAATATTATGCTTGCATCAAGCAAGCAAGGGTTCTTCCAGCCACATAGTGTCGTGCATGCCAAAGCTTCGGCATATCTGCTTATCTTTGCAGCATTTCGCGGTGAACGCTTTCAGGCGTTCTTACCTAAAAAGTTGTACCCGGAATTTTCTAGCGAAACGTGCCGATACGATCAAGTGCGTGAAACTAGCTGACGCAACAGGCTATCAGACGTGAATTGGGCACTTGTTGCGGGCGCAAGGCCTACCTTATCGAGCAAAAGGCAATGTGATCTCTTCACAGTAACTATCCTAGTATACTCGGCAAGGACTTTAGACGCCTGGATAATTGATGCAGCGGGTAGGTTGCATAGTTTTCGCCTTGTGCAAGTTAAGACAGACAAGGTCGTCGCGTTGAGTGGGGCTCCCAGAAGGCCACGGGCAAATACGAAGCTCCAGAATTTAAGAGATATTGAACTCAAGTCTTGCATTTTTCCCTTAGCCCGCTGTTTTATAAAATAAACGAAAAAGCGTGTCAGTCATATCAAATTGTAAGTTTAACATTCGACGCAAAATTGTACCCAGGTAGAACGGTGACCCATTACTAACGACGACTATGTAGCATCAAATTATCTCGGTAGTAGCATAGTAGGGAATGTATTTGCCTGCTAATCTTTAGGGACCAGTTGTGGTCTAGATTCGAACCCGACCACTGACACACTTCGTTTCGTACTGGGAACCAGTCATCTGATGGAATGTTGAACGACGATACCGAACGTAGAACTCGAAACACAGCGGTACCGTCAAATTATGGCGTTTAGATCGTAATTGTTCATGCTCAATGTAACGGTGATAGGAAGTGTTCGGTCGTAATGGGCGAGTACTAAACTCGATGTCAATGTGCGCTTGACTTCACGGAACCTACTCGTTCTGTGGTGACCATTTAAACTACGTACAACACTTGAGTAGACTGTCTATGAGAGCTCATACTTCCCGAAGTAAACGGTAATCAAAAAAGTAAATACCAACACACGAAATTAACACTTAGACGAAAGCAGGTAGCTTCGGGTGAACGTACTCAACGGCTCAGGGAAAGATGAGATTTTTGACCCACCAATGGTTTGAGCCGTATAGCATGGCTGTTTAGATTGTTTCCTTTGAGTGTGCTTAGGTATTCGACTTTGTGACGGAAACTCCACAGACAATTTTACCCAGTGTGACCAAATACTTCATATATATGGATTAATTTATTAATGATTTTAAATGAACTTACCGTCATTAACGTCTCACCAGTTTCAAGAAGAGGGCCGATGAAGCCTTTATAGCTAACAAATATTTTTGATCGTGCAAGAATAACGTGTTTATATAACTTAGGGACATGTTAGTTGGTCTAGGTTCGGATTCGAACCTAAACGCGTTTAGTTTCGTGCCATTGGTAACCAGCCCTCTGCGGAAATGCCTAGCGAAAAGTAGTAGCAAACGTAAAACTCGATATGATTTTATAGTCTTCGAAAACCTTGAAGTGTTGAGACCTTTCAACCGTTCCCCATCAGGACGGTAACCAACCAGGTGCTCTTTCATGTTTTTTATAGTTTCACGCTTATAACACCTGTCCCATTAACTTATCAACTAACTGACATTCTATTTGGCCCCCTGTTGCCTTGCAGACCCGCAGCTCCGATACCGGAAAATTCACCCTCGTCTTTCGGCCGTATTCCGCTCAAGCCTGGTGTCACGCATGTGCAGCTGCGGTCAGCCGCTATCGAGACAGCGCTTCGACGTCAGGCGAAGTCAGCGCCTTTGCTTAAACCGCAGACGGCGCCCCCAAGAACGGTGCCACCAACCTCACAAGCTGCTCCCTCACCGGCGACAGCTGTCAGTTCGTCTGCTACCGGGAGTGGCGTTGCAGGCGGAGGTCATGCGCCGGTTGGGCGGGTTGAAGTCGCCACCGCCCGATTAGGGCAGCTAGGTCTGAGCGGGGTATCCACGGCCGAACAACATCAGCAACAACAGAAGCATAAACAACAGCAGCAGACGTTGCACTCACAGAACCATCGGCATTCACAGCAACACGCACAACAGCTACACGACGGACAAAACCAGCTCCAGTTGCAACAGCATCCATCCCAGCAGCATGGCCACCATCAGCCTCTCCAGACAAAACAGCAACCAGCGCAGCAATCACTGCAAACACAGCCATCGCAGCATCATGAATCACAGCAACAACAACAACAACAACAACAACATTTCATCTATAATAAACAGAAGCAAATTCAGTCTCAACAGCATCAGCAGCAACTGCAGCAGCTACAAAAACATCAACAATTGCAGACGCAAAATCATCTTCAGAGACAGCAGCAGCAGCAGCAGCAGCAGCAGCAGAAACAAGCGCCGCCACATATTCGGAGCACGCAACAACAAGCACAACATCAGCAGAACTTTAGTCAAGCTCAATATCAGTCACACATTCAGGATCATTCCGGTCCAAAACAGCGGCAGCAACCGACACACTATGTCCGAACTCTTAATAAGGCTCCAGGTATGATATTACTAAACTCATACAGATATACAAACATCCCTGAACTCTTTTCAAATAGTCCGCAGTAAGCTAAAATATACCTATAACAACCACGATCATATTTTTATACATTCTTAACATCTAATGCTGAAAATTGTAATACTCTATTAAGAACAATTCACAGACGATCTCATAATATCATGATGTATCTTATGAACGTATAAAGGTATTCAGTGTTACAGTGGTGGAGTTGCTAGAATTGCTGGTAATCTATGCGATCCGTATCTAGTTTTTGATAATTGCTAGGTTAATAAATTTTATGATTTTTTGTTTAGTTTTACGTTAGGAACTGAAGGAGCATTGCAAAAGATATGTCTTTATTTAGATTTGAAATTAAGGCCCATAGGTGTTTATAGAGTTATTATATTAAAATGGTTCTTCTGCACCGCTTTAGACGCGTTAGAACGTACATTCCGAGTGCTTACCTTTAGTGCGGTTTGTTGATTTCCGACAATGAACTGGTGATGCAATAAGAAATGGATCATGTGAATAGCTTGTCTTAAAAAATTCATCACGGCAGTATCGGAAAACCAAAACACTATTTCATTTAAGTTAATGGCTTGCTTTGGTCAGTTGAGTGCATCTACTCGAATGTTCGTACGCTACGCGTCAATTACTTTGATAAGCGAGAATAACTTCTTCTTAAAAAACTCAACGCTTACACATTATTTAGTAATTTTGATACTACTCAACTATATCCGAAAGCCTAATCATCACGCACAAGTAAACACTCCAATCCGCTTCTAGAGCCCACATATATAATCGATTCCTCGACCACTTTTTCATTCAATTTAGTCGATGACCAGTACATTTAATTTCGATTCAGGCGGTTCGTGGTTTCTTCCCTTTTTCCTCCCTGGATTTACATAACTCGCCCCTCTTATCCAGGTTTGCCCGCGTTCGGCTCTAATAGTCATTCTGGGTTAACCGATAACAACCACCGCCGAGGAGTGAGCGTTGTAACTCTGAACGGTCAATCCACCGGTGGCAGTCTGGTTACCGTCGAAGTACGTGGAGGTGGCGATAACGTGGACGGCAGCGTTGTCAGCACGAGTGGACGTTTCGGCGACGGAAGAGGACGGGAAAGTCGCTCAACAGGTCCGAACGCGTTGTCTTCCGGACGGATGGGACTTGTCCCACCGCCTTACGAACAGGCGATCCGCTCCTCCTGCAGGCGACGGCCCGCTGATCTTGATCTACTGATTCGGACGCAACAAGAAAAGCTAAATCTACAGGTAAAAAGGGGCCCATGAATGGTAACTTGGCAACTTCAGGGAATTATGTGGAATGTTAAGGAAGCACAGAGTGCGGCCAACACATGAATGATAAGAGATATTAAAAGGGAGAGAAATAAAAGAACGAGAGGATAATTAAAGTTGTTCAAATTCCGTCTTTTTACTTTTTGACCTTGTAGGAGTGGTTCGAGAATTGATTTGCTAGCAAAATCGAATAAATGTTGGAAACTGAAAACTAAGATAGGAGTGGAGTCAGAATCAAGAACAAGGTCAGCAAAGATTAAAACAAAAGTGTTGCTTTAAATGCGCCTTCGTCCTATAGCATAAATGCTCAAAATAAATGGTTTTCACCTCGCATTCAGGGGCAGATTCGTGGAACGCATCGAGGAAGGCATGAATAAATTTTTCATAAAGATGAGAAAGAGACATTGATCAGTATGCGTTAAATGTATACCATCAGGTCGACGAATTGTCGAGCACGAGTCACTTGAATGATTCGATCTTCGATACAAGTAGTAGTGGTCCACTCACATCGTGCTTAGAGCATTCTGTATTGTGACGTCCCGTTGTGGGAACGTAGGCGATGAGCTAGCAAAGTATTCGAAACATTACCGCTAAAAAGGAATCGTGCTATTTTTTTTTTTTTTTTTTTTTAGTCAACTAAGCACTTGTCACATAACGTAATAAGGCCTCGTCCGTAAATCAGTGTGCATCCAGACCCAATCGTGAATGCTCGTTTGTTTCTTGAAAATGTTGAACAACTACTATCCTAGCCCGAGAAAAGCTTTCTATCATTTGCTCAAACTTTCCTCGGTCAGAGTGTCCTTTTAGGAAAATCAATAAAAACCACTCCCTCTTTCAAAACACACGGGATGCTTATGGCGAATTAGGACATGCTTTGCTTGGCTGCTTATGAAAGCGGGTGTGCCCTCACTTTATAATTGTTCGCAAGAGAAAACGAGCGTTTTTGCTAGAGCTAAACCACGTACTTATTGTGCCAGAGGTATAGCGTTACTGTTTAGATTACAAACGAGTATTCATATATTGTAAAGAATCCCCTTCGAAGCTGTTAGTTTCTTTGGTTATTTAAAATGAGCGATTTACAGTCTTACCGGTTACACTGCGGCTTTCGAAAATTTGAAATCGATCTATATATGGCAAAGCGGACCATTGGTAAGGGTCAGTCTAAAGATGCCCCCTAACTGGATTAAAATTACGCAAGAGGGCATTTCTGATGAATCTCTAATTTTGGCACAGAAGTTGAGGCCTATTCGCAAAGAGGATATTCATTACTAACAGGGTCCTTTCAATGTTAGATTTTTGGATCTTTTTGCATCTTTCAGGTTTTCTTTTACTCTTACTTTTAGCAAGACTCTCACTAGGCCATCTATGCCAAATCCGCCATTGGTTATTATTATTATTATTATTATTATTATTGTCAATGTATCCGCTAAATTAAAAATCAAACTTTCGAAAGTTATTTATGAGACCTTGAGTTAAACGTTTTGAAGTTAAATGGAAAATGTCTTCATTTGAATATATGTCGAGACCCTGTATAAATATATGTCTAAAACCCTTTATTTGTTTTAACTTCTCCGGTCTTCTGCTTTTTGTAAGTCTTGTGTATTTATGTTGAGCGTGCTAAATAACTCCAATCATTAGCCTGTCGTATAATTATGGTTCCGTAAATTAACATCGTAAGACTTGTGTGCAGTTCTGTGCGCGTCCAATTTTTGCCTAGATCAAAAAAGTACGTTCGGCACAAAATATCTCTACGACAAATTGCGCTTTTTCGAAATACTGACGTTCTTTCCAATTAGATTAATTTTCAATTATGAGCCACATCGAAATATCAGCTTGCGTACGTGCAAATCTTCCGCCATTGATTTAGACGACTGATGACTAGGTTGGCCGCCGACCTCCTCTTCTGGCAATATATACGTACGAGCAACTTATGAAATGTTTCGAAACTTTCGAAGTTCATACCCTTAGTATTCTATTTCATTTCAGACAAGGAAAATACGATGATAGCAACAACCCATATACGTTGTTAAAGGAAACAGTTTTCACGGGCCAATAAGCTTATGCCGCGGCCTCTTCACGCCATATGAGAATTGTCCATCGGTGACCTAATCGGCCGCGTTGTGGCTGCGCAAGCTGGTTTAAGCAGCGATGGTTCCTCAAATCATCTATAAACAGCTTTTGTTTGAACGAAAAAGGTTAACGAATATAATGAATGCAAAAATGGATAGCATCCGTGCTAGAAGATGACGTTTCATTATTCGTGATTTTTTTTTGTGTAGACGGCAAAGCTGGAAGAGATGGATCGCGAGATTGCCACACTCGAATCGAACCTTGAGAATCGCGAACGAGAACATGGGGCGATTTATCCAGAATGTCAGGATCTCGACCGACGGCTGACGGCGGCCGAAACGCGCCTTGGACTCGCTCAAAAAGAAGAAGCTTCGTTGCATGCAGAGATCTATGCAACGAAAGCTAAGATCGAACGACTGGCACATGACACAGAGGTAAGTATATATATAAAGCGGTTACTATTATTGTTTTCCTTACTATACTAACTATCACTAGCGAAAACTATCAAATAGCTTTTTTTTTTTCTTTTTTTTTTTTCCGTTTATTTCTAAAACTAATTTGTCTTTGTAATGTTACTTGTTATTGCTGGTAATACGTCCACCATTACAGGCCTACATGTCTCGTGAGTGTGACCTAGTAACCCGCGCACTGGATATGGTGGCCACGCCCTCTCAAGACCTTCCACTGGATGAGAAGCATAGGGAAATCGTTGCTTCGCTTCAGCTGGAAATCGAAGAGGTCCACAGACAGGCTAACCAATTAGCGGAACAGCTCAAAATGGAGAACCTCAAAGGTATTCAAAGCATTAAATCTCAATGTTCAACTTTGAGAATTAATTCACACGTGTTCGCTAAAGTGTGATACGAATTCTTTTCTCTGTCTATTAAGCCAACTGAGTACTTCCTTTGAGGAGTACATGGAGGCAATTGTAGTTAATTCGAGCTGTAAATAGTTTATTTTAGTAGAGAAAAATTTGTTTTACAGTAACAAATGTCAATGTACGACACCACAGATAGTTTGTCATACATGCATACAGAAGGTTTTTTTTCTAACCTCTATTGTAAATATGTCGCTCATGTAACTTAACTATTATGTATCTAAGCTGTGTATTTGGTCTTGTTAACTATTAAACATATACATATATAGACAGATCAATATGTTACCGTCTTTTTCACAATTAAGCAATTCTATCTCCTTGTCTGAAATCCATTCAAAGTAGAACCTCAGTTTGATTCTGTCTTAATGCCAACCTTCTTGTCTATCCACAGGGCTATCCATGGTAAATCCAGAAGAGCTGGCTGAAGGTGCAGAAGGCTTTCTAGGAGGTATCTGGACTGGCAACGGCGCGGGGGGCGCAGGGGCCCACTCATTAATGCGCGGTCACGGTGGTTCGTCTCGAAGAAAGGTACCGCCTAAAGGACCTCGCCAACTCGGCCAGGAGATGGCGTCACCTACGCAGACGCACCCGATAGGCGTTTGGGTTTAAGTCAAGGCAGAGAGAGCTGTACGTCCACTCTAAAAACGTAGATACAGAATTTGCTTGAATAACTAGGTAATGGTATGTGCAGCACCTTGAAGAAGATGTAAAAGCAGAAAAAAGTATGATGCTCCTGAAGTTCAGCAGGAAAACCCACAGAACGGTGTACATCAGTGGGCTACAAGAACGCACAGGCTGGACAGGACGAAGCATTAAAAATCAAGAGTGAGCCCTCAAATCAAGCCTTCGAATAGATATGAAGATAGATGAAATGGCCTTGTGCCATGGATGCATAGATTGGAATCGTCTGGTGCTCGAAGTAGGACGCTCTGTAAAGGTGCTATTTGTAGAAGTAATAATAAACACGAAACAAGATTAAGAAGATGCTATGCCGCTGCTGTATGATGACGACGGCGTTTCAACAGTAGTGTGATTTGAATCTTTGGAGAAAAAATAATAACCCCATATTCGCTTTGGTGCCTTACTCGAGTTCACATGCTAGGAAAGACTACATACTACGATGCCCCACTTTAATAAGAGGAACCTCGTATTCTGATAGGGGAGCGTTTCCTCCATTTTATCAACGAAGATGTTGATAGGTTTGGCGCGTTTTCACGGGGTCCCTCTCACGTATGTAGCTGATTATATAAAAACGGTATTGAAAGAAGAAGTCTAATAATAGGTAGAGAAA